GGTAAAGTCACATTTATAGTACAATTCCTGGTAGTCTAAAGAGGATGCTTGTGTAGCTGAATATTACAAAATATTAAAGAAATGTAAAAAAGAATTGGTTCCCAGCATTTGTATTTATTTATATACATTGTGTAGTTTAAAAAGTGACCACCGAGATGAAGCTTTAAAGTGCAGAATACCACAAAGCATAAGATGTGTGGACTTAAACGTTAAAAAAATATTTTTAACAAGAAACATTCATAATAAAATAGCCTAATATTTTTTTAAACAACAAAAGAGATTGTAGAAAACACATTCAACTGCTCTAAAAGTATAGCTTTATTTATAAGAGCCTCAGTCTTTTGGGAACTTATCTTTAGTGTCTGTGTGTGCAGCAGACCTTTGTTTATGGTCATCCCTTTAGCTATGGGCGAATCACTGAAATCTACTTTTACGTCACAGTCTACACTTCCGTAGGACTAGTGACGTTTTATAGTATAGTCCACCTTGCATCTCGGCACAAGTTATTTTAGCATCCAGGGACGACAAAACTTAATGTAAAAGCCAACATTGAAGAGTTCGCTGCTGCATGTTTATTGCTTTTATGTTAATCCGTACTTGCACGCCGTTCAATTGCAGCTTTTCTTCCACTGCTTACACATCGCATCGACCAAGTGGCAGAAACCATGGAAAGAATTTTCACTACCTTTCGTCATAAATTCACGCTCTTTTGTCCATTCTGGGTTAAACGACGTCCTGGTTTTGACAGGACGCTAACTTTAATACTTAGCATCAGTAATTCTGATCCTTGTTTACTTTTGTAACCAATGACAAGCAGATCTTTATCTGATACGCCGCCACTCTTTGCCAGATAGTGATGCATTTTTGACGATTGGATATTGTGCTGCAGCCCAGCAAAAAAAAAAAATAAATTACAAATCTGCTCTACAAGCCTAGTGCTTCATAAAGGAGGACAAATACACGTCTGGCTGGATGCGGCGCCGGAAGCTGGACAGTGCAATGAAAATCCGGACTGTCCGCCCTAAAGCCGGACATCTGGGCACCCTAGTGAGACCTCAAACACAACAAGGATGAAAAGCTGATGCAGACCTGGTAATCTTCTTATTGGACATGTATGAATTCTACCTGCTAATTTCTGTTAGAGCTCAGTTGTGCTTGATGAATGTACAAGCACAACATCTGCAGCTTTTATTCTCTGTGCAGCTTTTCCCAAAATAATCTGGCCGACTCTAGGTGGGCGTGTGCTGCGAAAACCTACAACACTACACAATACATTGAGTTATAAAACACAGGTGTTTCCAACATTTTCAAACTGTCTGTGTTTAATCCAAGACGAACACTAAGAGGATTATCAAGTCGTCAAACCGCTTTTTAAGAGTTTCTCACAATGTGTTGATGCAGTGACATTTATGGGCCATGTCATGAGATGTGGACAGAAGCCGTCTAATGAGGACAGTCTTTTTGTCTGTATATCAAACACAGGGTGAGGATACAGCCTGGAGTTGTTTTTCTTAATAACAACAAAACCGAAGTAATCTTTGGACCAATAGAGGAGAGATCTAAAATTAGTCGCTTCAGCTAGTAACCACTGATCAGGCCCGAAATCTACAGTAGGTGTAGTGCTGGATTCAGACTTGAAAATCCAAAAGCATTTAAAGACAATTAATGAGGTCGGCTTTCTGTCAACTGAAGAACATTTCCAGGATTAAAGGACTAATGTCTCAGCATGATCTGGAAAAACTAATCCATGCGTTTATTTTTAGTCGAATTGATTACTGCAACGGTGTTTTCACAGGTCTGCCTAAAAAGTGGATCAGACAGCTGCAGCTGATCCAGAACGCTGCTGCCCGTGTCCTCACTAAGACTAAGAAAGTAGAGCACATCACCCCAGTTCTAAAGTCCTTCCACTGGCTCCCTGTATCTCAGAGAATAGACTTTAAAATACTTCTGTTAGTCTATAAATCTCTGAATGGCTTAGCACCTAAATACATCACAGACGTGCTATCAGTGTATCAACCCTCCAGACCACTCAGGTCTTCTGGCTCCAGCCTGCTCTGCATACCTAGAACCAGAACTAAACATGGAGAAGCAGCATTTAGTTCCTATGCTCCACTTATCTGGAACAAACTTCCAGAAAACTGTAAAAGTGCGGAAAGCCTGAGTTCCTTTAAATCAAGACTAAAAACACATTTGTTTAGGATTGCCTTCGACTGTTCTAGTTAAACAGTTCAACTGAAACATCATTAGTTCAACTTTTTTATTTTCTTTTGTGCAATGTTCTTTTTAGTTTCTGCATTTTATATTTATTTATTTATTTCTACTTGCTTTGATTCTGTTTTATTTTCCTATATTTTAATCATGTAAAGCACTTTGCATTGTCTTTGTACTGAATTGTGATATACAAACAAATTTGCCTTGCCTTGGAACCGAAAGAAGAGCTATCTGTAATCCTGAGGCGTAGAGGCAAAAGGCACAAAGGTCAGGGCATGGATTTCGTGTCAGTTTGTGACACAAATAGCTAAGCGTCCACCTGATGCAACACAGATTCATGAAGTATAAGATGCAGGAGATCATCTTGTTCGAGGCTCCTTTTGCAGATGCCAACGCATGCTGACTACTTGAGCCCACAGCTGTGCCAACTCTCCCCAATTTCTCTGTCCAGTAACGATCTGAACTGGAATAAACTGTTAATTTTTACTAATTTTTATATAGTTTTACCAAGTTTTGAGTTAAGCATAATCACACCAAGTAGCTTGCTCAGAGGTATAATCGCCTTCAAGGGAACATAACTTTCTATTTTAAAAGTGTTTCATCTAAATTTCATTTCAGCTCAAAATGTGGCTGTTTTAAAATGACCTTGCACTAGTGGATTCATAGTAGAGGTAAACCTTAAGGACAAGAACAGATATCCTGATCTGAACTTTTAAAACATTGGCTATAAATATGTCTGCTAATGCAGTGCATGTATTTACCAAAGCTGCTATTGACTAAATGTAGTTTAGTGCAGACATGGATTTGAAATAAGCACTGAGCACCTGAATCAGTAGCTCTGCTGTTGGTCTGATCTCTTGGTGTTACTCAGGGAACAACCTTTGGCTCTCTTCTTTTTGTCTTTTTCCACATCCTGCTTTCCAGACTATTTTATTTTTATTTTTTCAAAATAAATAATTTTCAATTTATTTTTAGAAAAGGAAAAGAAAGGGAAAACAGACATATCCGCCCTGCGGTTCTCATTACATATATCAGTCTGTTCTAAACTTATGCAATAATTAAACGTATTTTACCTCATTTTAATCCTGGTAAGCACATTTTTTCAACTTATTTTTTTTTCTTCCCTTTTTCTTTGTTTTTGATGGATATTTTAGTAAATGAGCTAAAGAATAACTGGATGGGTACAATCATTCTTCTTTTTTCTTTGTTTGTGTTGTCAGAGTTTCACTAGGCAAATCTTTTTCCCGACACATGAAACCTTCCAAATGATACCAAACAGTTTCTAATAATAGCTAATCAACATAGTCGGAAGTCAATCTACCACTTTGCCCTCTTTTCATATTAAAGAAATTGGAGGTGCAGACCAGCTGGGGGGGGGGGGACACTGAGCCCAAATTCAAAGCTGCGTATTTATAATAAGCTGCAGCGGTTAAATGCTCAGTCAGTTCCGGAAAATTTATCAGCATTAGGCAAAGCACCTGCAGATTTTTTTGCTTTGATGTCGCAGATAAGTTTAAACAGTTGTATTCTTTTATCTCTTTCTCAGGATTTCCTCCTGCAAATCTGAGAGAGAAGAACTGGGACAGGGGTTGCAACAGCTTCTGTGTGTTTTTTTTTCTGTATGTGTGTGAGAACACAGCTGCTTCTCTGGTGTGCAGAGCCGTTTTTGCACCTCTAGTCGTGTCATGTGCTGCCGAGAGGAGGCCTGAAAACAGTGAATACAGTAGATCTTAATCATGCGCAGCGTTCTGTAAACGGACACGTTTTAGATTCAAAGCGATAAGTCACTAGTTTGATGATGTGGGCCACTCAACTTTAAGCCTCTGAAGAGACCTTCATCTGGATTCCACGAGGCCTAAAGATGGTTACGGTGACTCAAACAGAGAGCAGATCATCGTCATCTTCTGGCTTGCATGGTAGACAAGATGCATTAAATGAGAAATGCTGACCCATTCGTTCAGCACAGGCCTCAGCTTATCTCGGTATACTGATACATATTCTGTCGCTGTTGGTTGAGGTCAGATGCTGGTTGTTACATTATTGTATTTGCATAAAGCAGAAATAAACTATTTTGCACCTCTAAAGTTTGAGAGTTTAATTAGAAATTTGAAGCCATCATGTAAATGCATAGTCGGCTTTTTTCTTTCTGAATTTATTCTGTCTAATTTTTATTGGTATAGCAGGAGATTTTTGACACAAGGTTCAATGGGCGTAGGTTTGCATAGGGACCATAGGGACATGTCCCTACCAAAATTATGGACCAATCTACTTCTCCTTACCAACAATTAGATGTGAATAACATGTTTATAATTTACAATACAGCATTGTTGCAGCAGTAGAGGAGTTCTGTATGGAGAATATTGAAAGACGAAAACATTTTTTATCTAAAATGCAAAATGTTTATTCTTTTTTTACAATTTTCATATAATTCCTGCTCCAAGTGGGTCACACTGTGAGCTAAAGACATGTTTTAGAGTCTCTATACTCCAGCTAACGATTTATCGATTACTAAATTTGTTGACATTATTTCAATAATCGATTAATCTGATGAATTGTTTCAGCCCTAAATAAAATACATAAAATGGGTTAAACAGAGTAACTACAGCCTAGATGTACAACTTGTAGAGTGAAATTAATGTTTTAAATGCTCAGTGTCAGTTCCTCTTCTAGTTCCAGTGCTCATGTAAATAAAATAAATGTATTTGGCGTCCCTTGAATCTATTATTTCGCTTTATTTAATGATCTCAAAGAGAACATTTAAAAGATAAGAGTGGGTTTTACCTCTGTTTGCCTCTGCAGATTTATATATCTTTAAAAGAAAAAAGCAGGATAAATCCACATATAACAGACATATTTAGACTATATTTGGTTAAATAGGCACAGATTTACCTACTGTCTTAGTTGCTGGTAATTTGGAGTGGAAAATAGTTCTAATTCCACATTCATCAGAGCCGTTGATGGTTCAAACATTGACAAACAGCATCTAGTGTGTCGTAGTGCTTATAAAATTTGTATAAATGTAGCAAGAAATGCTGCTTTTCTCTTCAAATGAAATACACCCTAATTTTCACGTCAAGCATAAAATAACGAGCATGCATATTTTTGCATAGGACCAATGACATCAGACCAACAGTGTCCCTACCAAAGTTGAAATTTAAACCTATGCCCTTGCAAGGTTCACTTTAAAGGTAAAAAGAAGCTAATCTCTAACCTGCATCGGAAAATGCTTAACCATTTCATGAAGCATGGATCCAGATTAAATCCAGATAAAATCCAATCAGTAAAGACTGGAACTCAAAGAGCACTTGTTCAATCATTAAATTATACCAACTTAAAAACATATTTATTGCAGTTTATGAGAACACGGTTTTATAAACCTAATTGGGCAAAGAAGCCAAAGATTAACCCTTATTCTAATTCAGAAGTTGATGTCTTACTTTCAACTGCAAACTATGTTAGCAAGTCGAAATTAATTAAACAGGAAAAAGAGATGGGAGGAGATGTGGTGCTATTAGCTTAGGTTTTTTTTCTAGTGGTATTTTTTTATTATGTGCTGTTTTTACAATAAAATTTCTGGATGACTGATCTTTGTAGGTGTAATAAAGACACAAGTCCAATTAACCCATTTTATAAAAGTCAAATTTCCTGAGAATAACAACTGAAAATTATATTTTAATGCTTTTTTACTTATAAATAATCCAATAATCAATGAAAATATTTCATTACAAGAACTAAAAAAAGATTAAACGGTGATGGAATGATCAAATTGATCTTTATTCATGTAAACAAAACATATACTGCGCCTACCTTTAAACAAAGACCTATTTACAAGAAAAGTTACACCTATTCCAACACTTCTTCTTGGCTCATCTTTGGGCGTAAGCTTCTCCATAGCCACATTGAGTCTCTTGGTGGCGCTGCAGGTCCACCCTACGCTGGAAAGTGTGCTGACAGCGAGAGCAGCTGAAAGGCCGGTAGCTGCTGTGCTTTCGGCTGTGGGTGATGAGGTTGGAGCTCTGGCTGAATCCTTTACCGCACACCTTGCACACGTGTGGTTTCTCACCTGAGCAGGGAGCAGGAACAAGAAAAGGCCATCATGCTTCATGCAAACATTTCACTCATGAATAGTACATTGTGTCTTGTGCCTCACCTGTATGTATGAAAGTGTGTTTCTTCATGTCAGACTTCTGGTGAAACCTTTTGCCACAGTACTGGCAGGGGTAAGGTCGTGTGTCAGAGTGGATGAGGAGGTGAGTGGACAGGGTGGACGAGCGCTTAAAGACCTTCCCGCACACTTTGCAACCAAAACTGCGGTCCTGGATGCAGAGACAGAGCTTATTATTAGTCTGGGTCTGAACAGGATTTTTTTTAAAACAACAACAAAAAAAGGTTAATGAGTGAAGACCTTTGCTCTACTGTAGCTGCCAGCTTCTCGGAAACCAAAGGGCATGTGGGACATGTCTGTAGAAGTCAGTGACCTTGTCAAAGGGATTGAGAGGTTGTTGTACACCTGATCCTGAGGATGACTGCCGGATATTAGGACATCTGAGACAGATTGCTGAAAGAGGAACAAACAAATAAGATAAATTCATATTGGGTTCAGTAACCCTCTGTTAGAGCTGAAATAGGTGAGATAAAACCATAAAGAATCACTGGAAGATTAATATTATAGTAAAATTTTACACCTAAGCAACAGAAACACAAATACAAAAAACAAGGGAAATATATATAGATATATGTTTATATATATATAGCTGCTTTTATTTTAGTATGTATCTTTTAATCCTCTTTAATGAATCAATTAAACAATCTATGAAGAGTGTAAAATATTCCAGAGCAGGTTTGATCAGTTCATTTATTTTGGATTTCAAACTAAATAATCTAGATGAAAGATTCTTTCCAAAAAATGTAAAAAAAAAAAAAAAACAGTCTGCTGGATTTTGTTTCCAAGTTTGAAGACGTTTAGCTTGCCTTCCAGGAACCTTGCTTTACAATGCAATGATTGAGTTGATTCCTTCCCGCTATCATGGCAGCGCCCACTCCCTTACAGGGGAAAAAAAAAAACACCTTGCCTCTTCAGCCAGGCCAACAATTCCCTCTAACGACCCCCTTTTCAGAGCCATATACCAGTATTGGGTATTGCAGGCTAACAAAGAACCCAAATGAATACCCATTTCAAAGGGGCAGACCCATTCGTCCGGTTCAATTTGCATTATTTCTAAGCCAAAAATATACTTTGTTTTGTTCCACTATATAAAGCCTCTAACATAACGCTATTTCTGACATTTTGAATTGAAAAAGCTTCCTGGATGGGAAGCGAAACGTCTTCAAACTTGAAAACAAAGTCCAGTTTTTTTTTTTTTTACTTTTTTTGGAACAACTATGACCTGGATGACTGAGAATCTTCACCAGCAAAATGAAAGATTCCAGGTTAATTAAAAAAAGTGAAATTGCTATTCTATTTTTGACTAAGCATTAAGCAGGGAAGAGATATGAATTTTAGTCCATGGTTGGAAGATTATATTTTCCTCACTTTTGGGTCCATTTCCCATCATCTAAAATTCCAAATTAGCAATAAAAAGCTAGGTTCAACTAACAGATACATTGAATTCATTTGCTGCACTCTATATAATATAGAAGATATATATATATTTATCTTATATTTTACATCATGGTCATATTTTTTAAAGAAAAGCAACAAACAATGTCCTGTTTCGGAATGTTTCTCATTAAAAAAGAAAACTATTACAAAACTAATGTTATGTCTGTAATAACAATAACTATCAATAGAGATAATATATGGTCAGCAAACATAGTTTATAATATCTGACATAATGTTGCCATTATTATTTCATTAGGGGTAATATTACGATTGCAGACTATGAGAATCTATTCCTAATAATGTAATTTTATTGCTGCCAGTTCGCCCTCAAAACTAAATCTGATCAAGAATGAAATAAGCCATGTTTTATGAATTAATACTTTTAAAACCTCTATAGAGTCGTGGCTATTTTTTTCTCCCTAAATACTCAGTATTTGGTCTTATGGAGTTATATCAGCATATCATCAGCATACGGTTTAACTTGGATTATGAAATAGGTAATTTGCATTTTATCTGATAATACTATATTCTTTATTTTGTCAGGATCTGATTATTCTTACCTTTTCACAGAGAGGACAATCTCTGACGGGCGATTTGAGGTCAGTGTGCGATGTGTGGTTGAGCAACAAGAGGACGAGCCTCTCGAGTTCTCTTTCTCTGTTGGATTGTTGTTGGTCTGATGACCATGAAGAGGCTGGTGGAGGATAGACTTCTTTCTCCACAGAGGCTTTGGTCAAAAATAAAAAAGAATTAAAAAAAACTGTTAATAACAGTTGGAGAGATAGATGACGCCAACTATTAGATGCATTACTACTAAGTCACTTGGACATTGGCGTAGAGAAAACAAGAGCAGCAGTTGGACTATTACCTTTCTCGCTTTCAATAACAGAACGCCATTTGATGTGAGTCAAAGCAAAAAAAATCATAACCGTATTTCTACTGTAATTGATTATACCTGAAGGCCAGAGCTTGTGTTTTGCTGTTCTGTAGGAGCAGTTTTCCAACCCTTCTTTGGGTGAGCAGGGATCAGCCAGAAGGTCTCTGATCCCGGGGGATAAAGGTTTCGGAGCATCTTCAAGGTGGCCAGTCGTAGCCTCCTTGGCATCAGTCTCAGCCTGCTGTCTGAAGTAGTCATCCCTTGGTGGGCTGTAGAGATGCGTCCGTTTGGTCTTGACGAGGAACGAGCGCGGCATTGCAGAAGTAGGCGTCTGAGGGAGTAAAAGTGTTGCGCTATAAATCTGCAGGAGTCTGAGAAGCCAACTCTTTCATGTCACTTTTAGAGCCTCGCACACGCTCAGATCTCGAACACCTGTTGGTTCATCTTCAGTTACAATGCCAAGGTTTGAGGTTTTCTTAACAAATACAGCCTGCCACCTGCACAAAGGTTTTGAGGGCTTTTACTAAGGATA